CACCCCCCAAAATTGAACACCCATGGGTGTTCAATTATGGTGGGTGTACTAAAAAATACACCAGTTATACCACCCCCCATTTTTTTAGAAATTTTGAGTACACCCACCCCCTAATCTAAGTGTATAATGCGATCCGATTTTTAACGAATTTCTTCATTGTTGGGGGCGCGCCACACCCGAAAGCCTATCGCGCAAGGCAAAAGTGGTTCGTTCGGTACTTTTTGGCGCGTGCGAGGAGCCTGCAATATGTGGCTCACACATCACGCGCAGCGCAGTGTTTGTTTCAGTTCGATTTTGTACCTGAATGTGACATGAAGTACAAAAGCATGTGCCTTTTCATTTAAAAGAATGCCATTATATAACACCCATGGGTGCAGGCTTACACCCCCCCCCCATAATTAAACACCCCCCCAAAGGGGGGTATTTATCAGTACACCCTAGGGTGTACAATGCGGGGGATTGCGGTAGGTTGCTTCGCAACCCAAAAACAAAGTCGAATGCTTCGAGAAGTTTGAATCATATGTCTTTGTAGTGCCCTTGCAATGTTTGAACATTTTGGCACATAAACCTTTAGGGGCAAAGATTGTTTTGATAAAATATGAATAGGTATTGGATTCAACATAAGAGGTTGCTTTCGTAAACATTCCATTTTTGCTACTACACGATTAATGCAAGATGTTGTAAAATTGTCAAAATAAAAATGATGGGGAAATTGAAAATGACTTAAAAGCAACGTTAGCACCATGAAAAAAAAAAAAAACCTTTATTTTCAATATGCACAACATCACTCTCAAAAGTAGTGCCTAGACTACGAAGAAAACAAATTGTATTGCTTGGACGAAGCGGAAATTTAATTTTAAAATTGTATCGTATCGTGAGTGGGGCGAAGGCGGAGCAGGAGCAGGATGATAAGGCGGAGGAGAGGGCTGCAGGGGGGCAGCAGGAGCAGCAGGTGGAGGCGGGGTTGAGGGCGGTGGCGGTGCAGGAGAGCGTTTCGATGGAGATTGATTCGGTTGACGGCCCCGCGCAGGACGACGTGAGCCTAGGGGTTTCAGGGGCGAGGGGGTGGAGGTGGGCGTGAGGAAGGTGGCGAGGTTGGCGCGAGGCGGTGCTGCTGTTGGGAGTGTGTGGCAATGCCCTCCCTTTGTGAGGCTCAGCATTTTGAGGTGGGCGTTCCAACTAGTGGGAGGGGTCGGAGAGGAGAGACGACAGGTGGGAGATTGGGGGATGGGAGAGGGGAGACTAGAGAATGGGGAATGGGGAGATGGGATGTGGGAAAGGGGAATAGGAAGACGGCGGTGTGAAAGAGGGGCGTCCTTTCACTGCACGCACTGCGCTGTGCCCAGACCTAGCCCGGCCCATCCCTGACCACCCGACCTACTTAGTGGCCCTGTTGTCCTTTTTTGTCATGGTGAAGTCGATAGTGACGTATGTTACCCATGACTCGCCTGTGGTTCTATCCCTCAGCACGACTTGGGCGCGAGGTGAGTCATCGTGGGCAACATACAGGATTGATTGCTTGTGCATGATAGAAATCCGCCTTTCTAGTGGTGGTGATGGTGCGATCAGCTCGGTTCCGTCCCCGCACCCAAGGAGGTGGTTGGGGAGATAGGTGTTTGAAATGCCACCTTCTTGCAGATGCAGGTGCATGGGATTTTCATGGGCAGTCACATTATTGAGAATTGCCCCGAGCAGAAACTAAGGGTACATTCCGCTGTGGACATGCGTCCCAATCGATGTGTCCCAATCGGGTGTACCGCACTGCATCTTATTACACCGAATTACACCCTAGTTTCAAAATTTTCGCTTCTCTGGTTTAGTGCGGTTCGGAGCGGTACACCCGATTGGGACACATCGATTGGGACGCATGTCCACAGCGGAATGTACCCTAAGGTCATGGTTGAAGGGTATGGCCAGCAACCAGTCCCTCGCCCCCGGCCCCTGCAGCGAAGTGAGTCACCGGGTTTGGCCAAGGGCCGATGTGGTGACCCTGTGCTATGAGCTGTCAGTGATGGCAGCAACACGGTCCCGATTGATGAGCACATCGGCCATGCTGCAGCCGATCCCTCCCATAGTGTCTGGGAGGCTGGCGTAGATCCAAGAGGTCTCTATATCTGCTGCCCAAGGTGCTTTGATCATGTAGGCATCCAGAGCAGCCTGCAGCAGGGCTTTTTCCCACCCTGGCCATTCCTACATAGGCAGCAACGAGGGGGGGTCGATCGGAGGAGAAGCCCCACCTTGTGGTAGATACAGTAGAGAGGAGGAGCAAGATAATCGTCTGTTGCGAGGCCATGCTGCACATTTCCCGGCCAGGTGAGCCATGCGACCGTGATCCTCTGTGTGTGAATCTTGGAAAGCTGCTATGGCGGTTATTGGGGGTGACGAGTGTAACGACATGAGCGTACTCCAGACAGAGAACAGAGGGGTGCGGCATCGCCACTGCATTCAATCAAGGGTGCATGCCCTTGACAGCAGAGCAGGGGGCCTAACGGGTCCCTTTGTGGACTCCCCTAGAGCTGGTGAGCGCGCTGTGCTGGTAATCCGCCGCAAGGAGGAGGGAGGACGGCTGTCCATTTGTTGCAATGACATAGGGAAGCAACCCTTCCATTCCAGAGGTCAGGTTCTAAGGGTGATGACAATAGCCGCACGGCGCACAGTGAATGGAGTTCAATGCGTTGGCCATGTCAACGTGCATCACTGCCGCGTGGTCCTGGTGGGCTTAAAGATGCGTACGCACGTACGATATGTATCACAGCTTCACCTCTTCCAAGACTGCTTCCCCATGCTGCACGAAACAAAGGCACAAAGTAAGGCCTTCGTGGCCACGCAAATGAGGCATTATCTACTTATGATTGGACGAACACCTCCGTGTGGTTTCGCAAGGGCTAGGAGACGGGCTTTGGTAAGAAAAATAGTGCAGGTTTGGGCATTGCGGCGCATAGCACAAGGTTGGTAACCCCATGCAGGTGCTCACAAATGTCGGGATTGGTGAGCGCGACACGGCGTCTCTCAAAATCTCTCGAGTCATCCCTGAGGGGCCCGCACCGACCCCGCTAGGGCAGTCGGCAAGAGTCCTGTTGAAATCTTCAAAGTTATGTATAAGCGATATAGAGTTGTAGAAGTTTTGTGACCAGTCGAGGAGCTGACTTGTAGCGGGGGGTTGTTTCACTTCAAGACTGGTTACAGTTTGTTGGGTTTCTTTGTTGGCGATGTGGGTGCTTGTGTTAGTGCTCGCACTGCTTCGCCCAGGTTTCCACACCTTGTTAGATCTTCTACCCATGCTGCCCGTCCGCGTGAGTCAGGGTTGGGTTGACGGGATGAGGGTAGGTCAAGTGCCCCTTTTGCCTCGTTGTGCTGTTACTGTCAGTTTTCATATTTGAGTGCTTCAAACTGCTTCTTCCCTTCCCTCCAACGAAGGGAGGCCCTGACAAGTAGCTTGAAAGGTTAGGCGTGGTAGGAGAGCCAGAGCAGTGGAGTCAGCCAACACACAGCGAACACCTCTACCAAGGTACTTACGGGTAGTCAGACCCCCCCCTCCCTCTGACTCACTCTCCTGCTCCCTCTCCCTCTCCCTCTCCCTCTGTCCTCTCTATTTCTGTCCAGGCGGCAGCAGCAACACCACCATCAGTAGCAGCAACGACAGCAGCAGGTGCAGTAACACCTTCAGCAGCAGCAACGACGGCAGCAGGTACAGTAACACCCCCGGCAGCAGCAACGATGGTAACAGGTGCAGTAGTACCCCCAGCAGCAGCAACGACGGCACTAAGTGCAGTAACACCCCCAGCAGCAGCAACGACGGCACCAGGTGCAGTAACAACCCAGCAGCAGCAAAGACGGCACCAGGTGCAATAACACCCCCAGCAGCAGCACTAACATCATTGGCAGCAGCAATGATACAATTGGCAGCAGCAACAACAGCAGCAACAACGACATCTATGGCAGTAGCAGGCGAGGAGGCGGCGGTGAGAGGGGGGCAGCATGAGGAGCAGACAGAGGGGGGGTAGGGGGGTGGGCGAGCGGGGGAGCTGGATAGATGTTGATGCTGTGGATCCCGCACACACGACCAGGTGAGCCCAGAGGACCTAGGGGCGAGGGGGTGGGCGTGTGCGCGAGGAAGTGCGCGAGTAGGAGGGAAGGGATTACAAGGGAGGCACTATTGACTACTATTGGGATCAAGATGCTCTCAGCACACCTTTAATTACCACTCAATCCCCACGGGGTCACCTCCAAGGGTCCTCGGGTGCCTGGCAAAGCCAGCCCCTAACCAAGGGTCCGTGTTTGTCGAGGGACGCACTAAGCGTAAATCCGGTCGTGTGCACTAGAACGCTCCCATACATATTTGCGGAAGCAATAACATCTGGTTGGCTCGTGTGCTGAAATTTCTCCTCGCGTCAATACTTCGATAGAGAAAATGTTCACTCCAAAAAGTATTGATACAATCAAACGCAAGCATACATTTTATATTTCGCCTAACACACATGCAAAGGAAAATAGCACATAGTTGATAAACTGCATTTCTAGGACTTCGTCTTGCTGTCTGGAAAAACGGTTGTTCAACATCTGGTGCGTTTGGCTTGAACCGTCTCTGTAGGAATTCCGCTTTCAAATTATATGTCCCCCAAACGCCTCTGCTAACTGTCAAAATAACAGACTCGAATAACTGCACTAACAGAAGGCTGGATACAAATAGGAAACCCTAATCCAGTGTACCCCCTAAGGCGTAACCCACTACAGCCTACAACCATATAAACATATAATGTTTGACACACCCCCATAGGCGAAGTGGGGAGACCTGGGGGTCACACGACCAGTCAGGGCAAAGCAAGGCAAAGCAAGCTCAGGGTGGATCTCGAGGATTCCACACAAATTCCGAGCACAAGCTAGCGGTCACAAGACCAGTTCACATGCAGGTTTATAACAGAGCAAGAGATACAGTGATCACAACCTAGCAAGAGTAAACATGCAGGTATATATATATAGTGATCACAGTACAAGCAAAGTCAAGAGGTAAGCAAGTGAGGTCCAGTAGGCACAAGGCCTAGTAGAGTGCAGAAGCGCTGATGGTCACGAGGCTGAAGCGCCTTGGTGAACACATCAGCAGTGTTGGCCTCAGTGGCCACGTAGCGAATACAAAGCTGACCACGCTGCTGCAACTCTCGAGCAAGGAAGTACCGCAGGGCGATGTGCTTCGTTCTGTGCTCCAGTCTGTGCTCCTCACACAAGGCAATGGCAGCCTTGTTGTCGACGTACAGCACTGGAGGAGAACGAGGCCGCTCTCCGAGGTCGGTCAGCAAGTAGGTCAGCCAGCGTAGCTCCTGAGCAGCCATGGCTGTGGCGTAGATCTCAGCCTCACAACTGGAGCCGAGAACAGAAGAAGAGCGCGTAGAGCGCCAAGAAACTGAGCCAGAGCCAAGGCTGAAGGTGTAACCCTGAGACGACCGCTGAGTGGCCTGGTCATCTGCCCAAGAAGCGTCTGAGTGCCCTGTGAGAACAACTCGGTCTCGCCCTCCAAGCACAAGCCCCATGCCCGACGTACTGCACAAGTAGCGCAACACCCTCTTAGCGGCATCCATGTGCTCCTTCCTGTGACGGCCAGGAGCGACATAGCGTGCAAGGATGCTAAGAGGGTATGCAAGGTCAGGTCGAGTGCAGGTCATCAGGTACATGAGGCAGCCCACAAGCTCTGGATACGGGCCACTCGGCTCTACGGACTCATCCGAAGGCAGAGCTGAGAGCGAGTGACCGGTAGGCAGAGGAGTGGACTGAGGCGAGGAGTACGTGAAGCGGAAGCGCTGAAGGACCTGTTGCACCATGTGTGACTGAGTCAGGGTGATGGTGCGCCGTGCTCTGTCCCGGGTGATCCGCAAGCCAAGATAGCTTGTCAGCTCACCCAGGTCTGTGCACGTGTGTCTCCTCTGCAGCTCCGACTTCACGTGAGCGAGTCCTGCAGTGTCAGCAGTGGCAAAGACCAAGTCGTCGACGTACACGAGGATGTAGAACGGCGGCAGCGAAGTGTCGGTGCGCAGGAACAGCGACGGGTCAGCTGTAGAAGGCGCGAACCCAAGAGCCGCAAGTGTAGTCCTCAGTGTGTCGTGCCACTCACGCGGAGCCTGGCGGAGACCGTAGACCGGCCGCTGAAGCCTCCACTGGGTACCAGGAGGAAACGACCCAGTGAAGCCAGGTGGGCGGCGCAGCCAGATCTCCTCGTGCAGGCTGCCCTGCAAGAAAGCAGTGCTGAAGTCAAGTGAGTGAAGCTCGTAGTCGCGCTGAGCGGCTATGTGCAGCAGCACCCGAAGAGTGGTCATCTTCGGGGTGGGGGAGAAGGTCTGGAAGAAGTCAACTCCCTCTCGCTGACTGAAGCCTCGAGCCACGTAACGCGCCTTGAAGACAGGCGGAGAACCCGGCGACCGCTTCACCCTGAAAATCCACATGCCACTGACGATGTTCGCCCCAGGAGGGGGAACCTCGTCGACGTAGGTGTGTGTGGACTTCCAGGAAGCCATCTCGGCGTCCATGGCTGTCTGCGTAGGGACCCGCCATCGCCTCAGCGTAAGTGCGCGGGGTCGGGATGTCTGGTGCATCCGGGTCTCCCTCAGGGGCAACTAGCAAGGACACGAGACAGGGCAAAGCAGCAGCAAGACACTGGAACTCCTCCTGTCTGTCCTCAAGGACGTCCGTGCCAAGAGCACACTCACCCCCGACGGACGGAGGACAGACAGACTCAGACTCAGACTCAGCAACAAGGCTAGCAGCGTAGTCTAGACGACAGGCAGCAGCAAAGTCAACCAACTCAGCGACCAGAGCAGACGCAGCAGAGGACTCAAAGGAAGGGTCAGTGACAACAGTAGCAAGGAAACGCGTGACAGTGGGGTGCTCAGCACGATACCGGTCAGACTCAGGGTCCGGAACGTCAGGCAAAGAGGAAGCAGGAGGAGACGGTAGAGGGACACGCTGAGGAGCAGTAGAGGGACGCAGAGTCATGTAGTGAGTGCCTGGGACAGGAGGAGGACGCTCACGACGGACATGACTACCAGTGCGAGCACGACGAACAGGCGACGCAGGACGAGACTCAGGCTCACGACGCTCTGTAAGACCTCCTGTGGGACCAGTGTAAGGAGAGGGAGCAGGGAGAGGCGAGGTAGGTGGTAACTGTGACTGCGGCTGGACAGGCGGAGGACACTCTACGGAGGGAGGAGGACAAGGAGGAGGAGTCTGCCCAAGAACCTGCTGAAGGAGCGGTACGAAGTACGGTCGCGGCCGCACAGCGTCTCCGGAAGCAGAGGAGACTCCAGCGGCCGGGTCCTCAGTACCAGTAGGAGCTCCAACGCCCGGGTCCTCAGCAGCAGCAGCAGTGCCACCGCTCGGGTCCTCAGCTCCAGCAGCAGCTCCACCGTCCGAGTCCTCAGCACCAGCAGCAGCTCCACCGTCCGGGTCCTCAGCACCAGCAGCAGCGCCACCGCCCGGGTCCTCAGCTCCAGCAGCAGCTCCAACGTCCGAGTCCTCAGCACCAGCAGCAGCTCCACCAGGCGGGTCCGCAGCACCAGCAGCAGCTCCCACGTCCGGGTCCTCAGCACCAGCAGCAGCGCCACCCCCAGGGTCCGCAGCACCAGGAGCACCACTCCGAAGACTGCAGCGCCGTGTGTACCACTCGCGGATCTGCTGAATGGGGGGGAGCTCCTGGGTAGGAGGGGAAGTACCGGGACGAGCTCCAGCAGCACCTCTCCGGAGGCGGCAGTACTCGAGGTACCTCTCCTGCAGCTGCTGGGAGGAGAGGGCTCCTCCAGGTGTAGCACGCTCAGGCTCAGCACCCCCAGACTCAGCACCCCCAGGCTCAGCACCTCCAGGCTCCGCACCTCCAGGCTCCGCACCTCCTGGCTCAGCACCCCCAGGCTCCGCACCCCCAGACTCAGCACTCCCAGGCTCAGCACCCCCAGACGCAGCACCCCCAGGCTCAGCACCCCCAGACGCAGCACCCCCAGGCTCAGCACCCCTAGCAGGACGAGAGTCAACAGCTACCTCGACAGGCTCACCCGGGTCTACCTGGGACACACCTGAGGGAGCGGCACCCTGAGGGGGGAGGGGGTCTGGTACCTCAGCACCTGGAGCGAGGAAGAGAGGCGGGGGGGGGAGCGGGGCAGTGCGGTAGGGGAAGAGGCGGTAGTAGGGGACGGACTCATCAAAAGTGACGTCCTGAGAGGCCAGGACACGACGCGAGGTGGGGTGGTAGAACTGCCAGCCAGGGGCGTCCGGGACAAAGCCAAGGAAGACGCAGGGGACAGCGCGACGGGAGAGCTTGTCCGCGGACGTGTCGCGGACAAAAGCTCGGGATCCCCAGACCCGAAAACGCGACGCATCGCCAGCCTCTCCCGTCCAACGCAGTGTCGGAGAAGTCTCGGGCAAGGAGACACGGGGCCAGAGGTTGAGCTGATGCGCAGCGTATCGGACTGCAAACGGCCACAGAAAATGGGGGGCAGCCGCATGGCTCAAGGAGGTACGAGCGACCTCCATGACCAGACCAATGCGGCGCTCAGCAACCCCATTCTGCTATGGAGAGGCCGGAAGCGTGTACGACTGCTCAATGCCCTCCTGCTGACAGAAGGCCTCCAATAGGCCAGAGGAAAACTCCCCACCTCTGTCAGAGTGCAGACGCAGGACAGGGAAGTCGGAGCGGAAACGCTCACGGAGCTGGAGACGAGATCTGCGGATCCAAGGGATCAAGACATCAGGGACGTCACCCTTGGCGCGCAAGGGGAAGACCGTGGTGTAGCGCGAGAAGTCGTCAACAACAATCAGGAAGTACCTCTCCTGACCCTGACCACGGACGCGGGTTGGGCCCCACACGTCCATGTGGAGCGTCTGCAAGGGAGCAGTCGTCGGGGGAAAGGAGGAGGAGTGAGGAGCGGCGCGCTGCCGTCCCTCGACACAGGGAATACAGGGAGGAGCAGGCGAGTCGGGAAGGGGAGGGAGCACCCTGGGAAGACCAGCAACAAGGTCCCGTTTGTGCATGGCCCGAAGGCGCTGCACAGACGGGTGACCAAGGCGGTGGTGCCAAAGGACAGTCTCATGCGCCAGAGAGCGACACGAGCAGGGGGCGGACAGCTGACCTGACGCAGACGCAGACGCGGACGCAGCTACCTGAGGGGACTCAGTGGTCAGTGTGTAAAGGTCCGACCCCGGCTCCCGAGTGAAGGTAGCCAGGTGGCGACCCGTCCGAGCACACGTGCAGTGTGTCACACGCTCGTAGGCAGGGGTGAACTGGTGAACACCCCCATCCTGGAGCGCACTACCTGCCACCAAGTTCGTAGAGAACGAGGGGAGGTAGAGACCTGACAGCGTGCCGGACGGGACCGCCGGACAAGGAAGGACAGTGGAGGAGGTCGCAATGACCGGACCCCCAGAGGGGTCAGCAAGGGAGACAGCAACTGGCCGAGCTAGTGGCTCAAGGACAGTGCGGTCACGAAAGAAGGAGCGAGAAGCACCTGAGTCCAGTGTGAAGGTGTGCAGTGCTGCAGTCGACTCAGTACCAGGGGGGACGGACGCACGAGCACCTAGGGCAGCAGCCTCACCAGGACCTGTGGGAGCAGACGCACTAGCACCTAGAGCGGCAGCCGGACTGGCCTGAATGCCCGGGTCGGGCGGAACACGCAAGTACTGAGCACCCTCTCCACTAATAGACATCGCATACATGGCAGTGAGAATAGCATCAAAGTCTAAAGCCCAAATATCAACACCCCTCTTTTCCAGATCAGCCCAGCGCGGCAGCTCAGTGGCAGCAGGAAACTGAGTGCGCCACGCGTCGTTAAGGCGCGCGAAGCAGCGCTGCGTGGGGTGCGGCCTCCCACACTGCTGGCCGCTGCGGTCACCTGTGCGAATGACGTACGTGCAGATAACGCTACGCTGCGCATACCACTCACGGGCGGCCTGAAGCGTCGGGGCGGGCTGCTGACTCTGCCCTCCGCCAGTGCCTCCACGACCACCACCCCCACCGCCGCCGCCCCGGCCACCTCCACCCCTGCCGCCGCCACGACCACCTCCGCCTCCGCTGCCGCCTCCACCACCACTCCCACCGCTGCTGTCTCCTCCCCCACTGCCGCCACTAGTCTCCCCAGCCGCGCCTCCACTCGCACCGCCTCCACCCCCACCTCCTCCGCCACCACCCCCACCCCTGCCCCCCTTGTTCCTGCGGCGCCCGCTCGAAGCAGACGCGGTCCCGACCTTCTCAGCACCAAGAAGGTCGACAGCAGCAGCAGAGGCGACAGAGGGGAGGAGGGGGGAAGGGGAACACCCCTCAAAGAACGGGGTGCGGGGGTCGCCACGAGAGGTGCCTACAGCGACGATGCTCGCCTCAGCTGCAAGCAGTTCCTTCTCGAGGAGGGCAACAGTGAGCTCAGTGGGGGAGCGAGAGAGGAAGTGGTCCCTGACTGCGCGCAGAGAGTCAGGGAGGCGGGTGACGATGTGGTAGAGAGTGATCCAGAGTGGGGGGGGGTTGCTAGTGAGAAACTCGGCAGGCATAGCAGCGCGAAAGCGGGCCTCACTAGTCTTAAGGTGGGTGATGAGGTCTGCGACAGTGTGAAAGGAGGCTAGGTCGGGGAACAGGTAGGGGAGAGTGAGGCGGCCTAGCGTGGCAGAAGCGGGTGAGGAGTAGCGGGCAACTACAGCGGTGTAGAGGTCCTTAGCAGTCTTGCACTGGCCGAAGTGCTCGCGCTCGTCTAGCGGCAGGGAGTTGCGAATAGCAAAGCGAGCATGCGCATCACGGGTCTGCCACTGGGAACGCAGAGTGCTGTCAGCAGTCGAGTCAGGGGCAGTGGCATGGCCTAGGGCGTGGTCGTACAGTGAGATATCTTCCTTGGCAGTGAGCTGTAGGAACAGGTGTAGGTCATCTAGCCAGGTTTCGAACTTCACCGGACGGCCCTCGGCATCGAAAGCTAGAACGGGAGGACTAGCCATAGCGACAGTAGCAGTAGCAGTAGTAGTAGGAATCAGGCCGCTGGAAAGGTGTGCGGAGGGTCAACGGGGCCGGCGGGGCCGCTAGGTAAGGCGCAGGCGGGGTCGACTGTCCGTAGTGGCACACGAGCGGCAATAGTAGGTAGCGTGGCAGCAGGAGCTGCAACGGCGCACTGGTGGTAGCTGCAGTGGTAGCAGTGTGCGCGGTAGGTAGTAAATAAGCAGCAGTGAGAGCGAGTGCCTCGCGGGCGGCGGCTGCAGAAGCGCACGGGCGGCAGTGGCGCACGGGGAACGGTGGCGCACGGGCAATGGCGGCGCACGGGCAGCGGCAGCGTAGGGGCAGCGGTGCGCAAGCAGCAGCGGAAGCAGCGGCGTGCAAGCAGCTGCGGGCAGCGGGGCGTGCGCGAGCAGACGACGGGCGGCTGCGGGCGGGCGGCCGCTGCGACGGCGGGCTGCGGGCCTGCAGGGCGTGCGCGAGCAGGCGACGGGCGGCTGCGGGGCGTGCGCGAGCAGGCGACGGGCAGTAGCGGCGCACGGCAGTGGCTGCGGCGGCGGCAGCGAGCACGGCAGCAGCAGCAGCAGCAGTGCACGGGCGGTAGTAGCGGCGGCAGCGGCTGCGGGCACGGCAGAAACGCGGGAGCGGCAGCGGGCGACTCGCGGGCAGCAGCGGCAGCAGCAGCGGGGGACCGGCGGGCGGCAGCTGCAGCGGTGCAAATCGCGGGCCGGCGGGGCCGCGGCGGGCTGTGCGCTAGCGACGCAAAGGCGTGCGAGCAGTGCGCGGGCAGTGCGACGGGGCCGGCAGCGGGCAGCACGCAGGCCGCGGGGGTAAAATGCGGGCTGCGTGCGCGGTGCGCGGGCCGGTAGCGGGCGGTGCGCGGGCCGTTAGGGGCGATCGCAAGGCCGACGGGGCCGCTAAGGGGCGAGCGGCGGGGTCGTTCGAGGCGCTAAGGGGCGGCGCGACGGGGCCGTGAGGGGCCTCTAGGTCAAATGCGACGGGGCCGCGGGGCCTCTAGACGGGGCTCGATCGACGGGGCCAGCGGGGCCGAATAAAAATAATGAAGCGCTCGAGGGCGCTACGGGGGAGGCGCTAAGAACGCGCTCCGGTAGTAGGTAGGTAGTTAGGTAGCGAACGGTGGGCCCTTAGGAACGGTCCTAGAGAAGGACCTGCTCTGAAACCATGTCGTAATAACAGACTGGAATGACTGTACTAACAGAAGGCTGGATACAAATAGGAAACCCTAATCTAGTGTACCCCCTAAGGCGTAACCCACTACAGCCTACAACCATATAAACATATAATGTTTGACACTAACTCCACTCGCAAACGCATACATCAAAATCATAAACGCTCGTGTGAATTACCGTTATCCCATTGTAAAACGGAGTTTACCGTTTTGCACCTGAAACAAAATCATTGCGTCACGTGCCCGACATTTCTGGCGAAGATTCATGTTCGCCACGTCAGAAAAAATAAGACTCGAATTTCAATTAGTCAACCGAAATTTGGAGTCAATCCCGAGCACCCCTCGGGATCCCGCAGCACCCCTCCGAAACACATGCGCACACATCACGTACGCAATCATGCACGACCAGACAAACTGGTCGTGCTGTACAGCGCCAAAACGTGCGCCCTGCGTACGCTCGCAATAGTGCGAGCCTGACGCGTGGGCCTTAGGGCCCACACGCGCATGTCAGGACCACACGTGCGGGTCCTGACAGTCGCGTCCTTTTTGACCAGTATGAAACTGGTCGAAGGGCTCGGTCAAACATCGAGCCCCACCTCCCCGGCACACTCGACTCACACAATGAACGCTCACGAAAATTTATGAACAAAGCATGAACAAACATGAACGAAACATAAACAGCCATGAACAGACATGAACGCAAATTAACGAACATGAAAATACATGATCGCTCATGAAGCTTGCACGAACAGCACGCGAACATTCACGAACGCGCGAAGGCTCATGAAGACACATGATCACTCGGAACTTCACGCACATTCATGACACAACACGAACAACACGAAACAAACACGAACAATCATGAAAACGCATGAATGCAACCGCACACTAAATTTCTCATTACTTAAGAACCGCTAAGGTGAGTCACAAACCGTAAACGCCAAAATAAACAGTTCGACACAGTTAGAATCGCTGGTGGGTATATGCTTGTCCACAGAATAGGACTTCGTGGTGAATATTCCACCAAGCTTGAGCACCTCGAGCTACCTCTTGATGAATTTGAGTTCTTTGGTATTGTCTTCAGGGTTGGACGTATAAGTGCTCTCAAGTGGCACAATGGAAATTCACAAATGCAGCAGAATGCCGGCATGCTACGAACATTGCTGATTGGCTCGGGCCTGACGGCGTTTAACCATTCGAAAACTTATGTCACCATCTCCCATGACATCTGCTTCTAGGACTGGAGGGTGGCAGTGCTCCCACATTCGTTCCACTAGCGCAACCAATCCGCAATCACATTGTGCCGAACGCGAGCCTGGACCATTCGGATGACACCGTAATCAAGGGGCCGCGTGAATGCGGTGATCTTCGATGAAAGGTACACCACCAGAATGTTGCTAAGCTTCACCATGCGGAATCCCACGATGTCCTCGCGCAAAGCCGTGGCGGTTCCCACACACAGTGACTCGACGCATTATCCACAAGGAGCACCAGCTATAGTTCCTCCGCAAAAAAAAAAAAAAAACGTGCTCAACAAATTAATGCAAGAAGTAAAGATCTGCACATTTGAGGGTGGCGACACATAGGCACGGGGTTTATGTAGAAGTATACAAACTCATTCACATGCAAAAATAATAATAGTAGTAGTAGTAGTAGTAACAACAACAACAACAACAACAACAACAACAACAACAACAACAACAACAACAACAACAACAACAACAACAATAGTAGTAATAATAGTATTAATAATAAAACAAACAAAGCATAAGCAATCATTGAAACACAATAATCAACGCACTTGCCTCATGGGTCATCATGCGGCGCTTGTTATAGCGCCAGAAGACGTAGGATTCAAGGTAGAACCCATTTTCGTTAAAGTTGCGGGGATGACAGACTTTCGAGATGACCATCGGACGGAACATGGACGAACAGTCCACCTTGCACATGAAGGTGATTGTCGCACGATCCTTAGCGGTTTCCCCACCAACAAGAACCTCGTTCGCACATGTTTTCCTTGGCTGGCACGGTGCGAAAAATGAAGCCTCGTCAAAGTTGTAAAGGTCCTTGGGCGTCACTCCAAGGTGCGTAACTAACTCGATAAGGCATAGCTACGCCCTTATCAAAGCCTGCATGTTGGCGTCGGCAGCCTCTCCTGCGTGTGTTGGGTTACGAGAACCCACCGGGTGCATCATGCAATACACCCAGATAAGCGAGCATCTGAAGAGCAGGTCATCGTAAAAGTCGCGATCAAACAACCTTGCCTTCTCTTGGATTGGTTTTAACCTTAATGGAGCGCCTACATCACAGGCGTCACGAACCCAATTTTTGAGTTCACATTTGAGTTGGGGGAACCTCGGATGGTGCATTCTGTGATTGCAACTGAACCACGGTCATTGCAACGCCATTTCTTCTCGCTGCATTTTTTTTTTTTTTGGTGCTTCGATCAGGTCAGATGTCACATCTAGTGAAGCACCATAGTGACAAGCCCTTAAGACGCAGGTGTGGGTTGAAAGCAAAGTGCTCGCAGATTTTACGTTCATGAGTGCATTGGTGCTTTTGGTGGCAAGCCGTGTTGCCTAGGTAAAAGAATGGAACGTAATTTTTGATAGCTGGACATGAGAAATGAACACTAAAGATTAATTAGCCCGTGGTCTACACTGACTTTGAAGTGACCTCCTCCCCGCCACCTGAACAAGCCTGAGTTAACCCCGTCTGGGTTTCAAGACTGTTGGACTCTCGAGATCTAGAAACTATATACACGCCCTTTAACTCACTCTTAGTAGTTCCCACAGGGTCACCTCCAAGGGTCCTCGGGTGCCTGGCAAAGCCAGCCCCTAACCAAGGGTCCCTGTATTGTAGAGGGACGCACTAAATGTAAAGGTAACATTACCTTGATGGGGCACTAATTTTGTAAAGGGCGGGCGCTAGAGCACTCCCAAAAATCCTTTGCACAACGTTGATGACGACGAACTGGTCGTGTGCAAAAAAGTTCTCTTCGCGTCAATACGTTAATAGAGAAAACTTCACTAAAAAAGGGATTGATTACAACTGAACATAAGCACGCATTTATATTTCACCTAACATAAGCACAAGAAAGCACAAAGCAGATGTTTAACTTAACTTGAGGGCTTCGCCTTGCTGTCCTTGAAAACGGTTTCGAAACTGCTCTTGGATTTGGCTTGATTCGCCTTGTAGACATAACTGACTTCAAGCCGCACTCATGTCAAATTCCACTGCTGACTGTCTTCGCAAACATTCAAGATTTCCCACACGCAATCATTAGTACTCGTGTGGGATAACCGTTTTTACGAACGTTCACAGTTACAAAACGGTTTCTCTCCGTTTTTCACGAAGCCTTAGGATTACTTTTTTTTTTCACCGTTTTTCCCTGTATCAAAATTGTCCCTTTACGCCCGCTGCTTTCTCGTGAAGTTTCTGTGCCGTGTAGAGTAAATGACAATGCTCGAGATTCAGTTACGAAACTGAAATCTCGAGTCAAATCCGAGCACCCCTCGAAATCCCGCAGCACTCCTCGAAACACACGCGCGCCCCTGCCGGCGCAATCATGGCAAGACCGATATTTCTGTCGTGCTCTACAGTGCACGGACGTGCACTGTCACGTTGCGATCATGGGCCTTGTGCCCTCGCGCAACAGACCAGCCACATGTTCGCAACAGTTGCGAGCCATACTATCGGGCCCTGAGGGCCCATGCACATCTTTTGGACCACAGGCGTGGTTAATTCTCGCGCCCTCGACCTTGACCTGTCAGAATCCCAGTCACTAACCACTGGGATAAAAGGGCTTGTTTATATAGCGGGTGAGTGCGCCCATAACCCCCCAGGCCGACGTGCCTGTAACCCTTCCCTAGGATCATCGGGGATCTCCAGTGGACCTCTGACACCCCCCCGCACTGGGATGCCCGAAGTGCACACACCGGGATTCGAACCCAAGACCTTCGCTCTGATACCATGTCAGAATCCCAGTCACTAACCACTGGGATAAAAGGGCTTGTTTATATAGCGGGTGAGTGCGCCCATAACCCCCCAGGCCGACGTGCCTGTAACCCTTCCCTAGGATCATCGGGGATCCCCAGTGGACCTCTGACATGACCACTACGAAAGATCTGTCAGTCAACTTCTTGAACACTCACATCACTTCATGAACACACACGAAAAACAAAAACACACAAAGTTACATGAACGCACGTAAACTTTCATGAACAGCTCGCGAAACTGACAGAAATTCATGAACAGAAAATAAATGCACACTCATGAAAACTCTTGAACCAACGCGAACACACACGAAGTCTCGCAATCACTCACGGACATTTACGAACACTCTGAAATGCAACCTCCTACGAAAACGCACATAACTCATGAACCGTCAAGGCAATTTACGAATCGTAAACACAGAAACGTAAAGCTAAAAAATGCGCAACACACCCAGCAAATTACATTAAAAAAAAAAACCCCTCACTTTTACTCAACAACGATGAATAGGCGGAAAGTTGTCTTGCAAGCTGTGTATTGCACTCAACATAAACTTTGTCCTTCAAATGTATCTCTACAGTTTCCTCTAGCTCAACTTATTTTCTCGCTATTCTCTCTAACGGCAGCCATGGCTCTCTCGAGGCCACTCTTAATAGAGGGGCTATGCCAAGGAGTTATAGGAAGGATCTATTCGTAAGGGAAAATGGACTGTATTAGCGAGGGCTTCAAAACTAGAATATCTGGTTCGGAGATATTGTGGTTGCTGGTTTGGAGAAGCGTGGATTTGATCGCAAAAATTAGGGACCCAATTTCGATAGTGTTTTTCTCGTTCGGCGAGCACTAGTCCGAATCATTGACGTGTTTCGCGGGTTTAAACCTATTGAATTGTATACAATGTATTTATGGTATATTTTTCAAAGTCATAAACATGTGCAGTGATAATTTTATGTATAAATTTTTTGGCCTCATGGCCCGGACAGTTTCTACATCAATTTGGTGATCCGCACAATCTTTCCCTACCATAAACACTTGAGAATGCACATTTTGCATAATTTGAGAAAGGATTTGCTTTTTTTTTGTTTTTTAGTTGCTGGGGGTCTACAAGAAGCAGCAAACTCTAGGGCCAGGATAGCTTTGCCTATCCCCTTATCTCATGAAAAAATTATCATTGGAGGAATTTGGTTCCCAACATATAGCTTCTCTAAATTTTTTTTTTTAAGAGAGCGGCCTATTGAAGATGGATGAAAAACGTGCATACATGAGTTATATAATTTGAAGCTTCTATGATTGATTGCAAGTCTTATCAAGTAATCCTACATGTCAAATTTGCATCTACTCAACAAATTTTCATTAAGAAAGAATGTGCTAGAGTGCTTAAATGACTCGACAATGTGGACAGCACCGAACACCGGGTCCATTCCCACGTCTTTCCGAAACAAGCATCGAGTATGTGGGTACTTCGCCCACTCTGGGCGCTTGCAACCAGTCGCATCGTCGTTACCAACCACCTCATAATACTGGACGTAGGCGAACCCAGTGTTGCTTTGTCAGTGCTTAAAGAGGAGAGACACCTCTGTATACCATACGTCCTCCCTATCACTTATGGCCACATGGGAGAATCATGGGTTGGTCGTGGTTTACCCTGGAGTGGTACTTCTTAAAACCGGAATGAATGGTCGCGCCGATGTAGACCTGTAGGCATTTGGAGGTTTGGGGGCCAGAAAGGAAAGGAAAATGTGGAAAAGGGGAAGGAGAGAGGAGTTTGCGGATGGCAGGCCAGAGATGAGAGGGACGTGTGAGGGGAGAGGGGGGGATGAGAGTGAGAGTTGCAGGGCAAATACGAGATGTAAATGTGAGGGGAGGGATGGGGGATGAGAGTGATGGTTGCAGGGTAGAGAGGAGAGGGTAGCGTAAGGAGAGGGAGTGGGGAATAAATTAGAGGGTAGTAGTCCAAAGGGGAGAGGGTAGTGTGAGGGGAGATAGTGGGTGATGACAGTGATGGTTGCAAGCCAGAGAAAAGAGGTACAATTTGGAGGGAAGGGGTGCGATAAGAGCAAGTGTTGCATGTCCGGAGAGGAAAGGGAAGGTGCATGGGAGGGTTTAGGAGATGAGGGTGACGTAGGCTGGCCTTTGAAAGTCAGGAAATGTCAAAGGGACGGTATCTGAGTGAACACAAGAGGGAGAAAATGCGGGCTTACATGCAGGGTTGGGGACATGATGCCAGCCCTTTTCAGGTCCTCCTGCAGGGTACCTAGGCTGCCTCCAAGTGCAGAGTCGTACAGTGCAAACTGATCTAAGCTGCTTCGGCGATACGTTCTACCAGCCATATGCATGACCACATGGCTCCTACAAAAAACACATTGCCTAGTGGCTTCCGCCTGAAAGATAGAAGGGAAAGCAGCACTAACAATTTTCAAGCAAACAAGACAAGAACAAATTTGTGACATGCTGATTAGTACCCAAAGCATACCTTGTAGAAGGCACAATTGTGGTCGTGCTCCTCATAAAATGCACTTTCCACATGTTCTAGCATTGATAGGAATTGATTACTTTTGATGATTGACTCGCTCCATTGACGACGATTTGATGCACGGTATGGTATTTTCACTGTGATTATGTGAAAATGTTAATACATATTCGTTGAGCACCACCATGTGCACTTTCACAACCTTCCACAGTAAGGCCTGGGTAGGAAAGGCCTCTTGGGGTAGTGGTGGGAGAAGGGAGTGATGGAATGAAGTTAGAACACGAAGTCTGGATGGTGGAAGGTATAACGTG